ATTTAAGCATGAGTCTCATAAGCATATCAGGCCTTTTTTAAATAGAATTTAAAAAAGTTTTACCTTGTAAAAGAAGTTTCACCCACCTACATTTTTGATACTAAATATTTGAATATTTTCCATTATTTATGTTTTCTCCTTTATTAAAGTTTCTTTTTGTATAATTTTAATTTCTTGTCTGAGCTGATTTTATTAGGTGATGGGATCTGAAGTGCTCACCCAGATTCATGTTTATAAACCTAATCCCAGGGCAGCAGTTTTATGAGACGCAGCCTTTGTGAAGGTGTTTAGTTCATAAGGCATCAGTCCTTGTCATTGAGTTATGTCACAGCAAAAGCGACTTGCAAAGGTGAATTTGTACTTTCTTGCCCTTTCTGTCCTTTACTATGTGAAGACACAGCAAGAAAGCCATCCCGGATTCTGATACCCGATCTTTTTATTTCATTTAAGATGATAGTCTTAACAACAATGATTTGATACTTAGCAAGCATTTGTTATAGCGTACAAATGAGTGTACTGACCTTTCTCAAATGCAAAGACCTTGGGCTTTTTTTCAGTCATTACCTCCCTCATCCTCCATGTCTGTCTTTTGAATTTAAGCCCTTAGACTCAATCACTACTTTCCGTATTTTTATTCAATGAATTTGCTAAATGCCTTATTCTACACTATTCTATTTTATACTTTTTTTCACCTTGTACCCCACTCATTTTTCTGAATTAAATTCTTTTCTGAAGTTCTTTTATTATTAATACTGTTTCAGTGAAAGCTGTGAGTGGCAGTGCCTTTGACTGAAAATATCTATTTTAACCTCACTCTTGATTAAAAGCCCAAATGTGGATATAATTCTAGGTTGACAGATATTTTCTCACAATACATGAAATGTACTCTTCCACTGTCTTGTGTTCTCTATTGGGGTTGATTCCAAGATTGGATTGCTGTCAATCTAGCTGTCATTATTTTTCAAGAACTCTAAGGAATTTTGTGTTTTATGTTAGTAAGTTTAAAGTTTTTGAAAATTAAGTCAGTTAAATGTAGGGTCTTTTAAAATTTATTTTATGATGGGTTTTTTCTTTATTTCATACTATCTCCTATATATGGAGAGAGAGAAGGTGAGAGAGAGAGAGAGAGAGAGAGAGAGAGAGAGAGAGAAAGAAACAAAGAGATTTCTAATATTTTTACAGCTTCTTAAGATTTTGAAATCACAATGACTAGCATATCTGTTTCACTATTTCACCATTTTCCCTAAAAGACGCATAATACTAATTGTATTCTTTTTTAATTTAATGGTGTTACATGTGTATGTCTTTTCAAATTCTGTGGAGTTGCTTGCTTATAGGTCTCTTTTACGTTTTGACACAGAATTTTCTTTCACCACACTTTTTCCTGAATGGAAACACTGAAAGTATTCCACAGTTAAGGCAATCTTAGCAAGTTTTTCAGTGACCCATGCAACCACCCTCTGTCTACCACTGTTTCTTGTGCATGATTTGCTTATAAAAGAAAGGCTGTATCAAACAACTTACTGTGGGCAAGGGGAGGCATTCATTCATGCATTATTGCTCAGCTATACTAAATGTACAATAGCAGCTATATTTTTGCAGTGACTTTACTTTTGCTTTTACTTTAAGTGGAAAATATTGAAAACCACTTAGGTGTAATAGTGATAAAATTTAAAACATTTTTTTCAGGAAATACTATGTTTGTTTTGTAAGGAGTAAAAGTCCCTAATTACTAAATGCCTAAAACTAAGTCATTTGGGGACAGGGAGGAGTAAAAAGGAAAAAGTAAATAAGAAATATAAATACCTTCAAGCATAGCAAGGTTGATTTTTATATATGATTTGGAATCAGTTATTTTGCTTTATACCTATTATAACACCATAGGTTCTAGAGTGCCTACAGTCAAAGTGTTTGAAATCTGAGTTCATCCTTCAACTCTTAGTGGCAATGTAATGCTGGACACATTATATGACTTATTTGAGTCCCAGCTTTTTTCATCTGGGCAAGTGACCATTCTCTAGGCCACAGGACTGTTTCAATGATTGAAAAAGGTCATGAGCATAATGAATCTGATACATCACTAGGTATACATACGCACACAATTTAAGGAGACATTTATGTTGAATCACATTTTGTAGAGGTTTCAATCTATTGTGCTTTGATGGCCAATCTCCATCGTCCACAGGCATACTAAATTGTCTTCCAGTATGGACTGATTTGCTTAGTTTACTTTTTCTACCTGAATTTAGAGCTGAGTTGTTTGGAGGCCAAGAGGAAAGAGGAGCTCTGTCACTTGCATCCTCTTGCTTTTTTTTTTCCTCATTGTAGAGCATGAATGCTCCACCAAATGTGAATAAACAACAATATACATCTATTCAAAGAATGTGAACTTGAAGAATCAGTTCCAGGACACGTTCAAAGTGTTTTGTGTAGTTTATTTTTCAGCTTATTTCTCAGCCTATTTATCCTGAGCTAAAAAGGAGAATGAGTTTAGGAAGGAACATCTGAGACCTCCTGAACCATAAAAATGTTACTGACAACAAAACTATTGTGAGGTTTCTGCCTCTCATAACTTCTTTTTTTTTAAATTTTTTTTTAATTTTTATTTTAAAGGGAGTAAAATTAAACACAATGAAACAACAAAATAGGACAGAAGAAAGCAATGTAAGAGATATAAATTTCAAAGCTAGACAATCTGAGATCCTCACTGTCTATCATATTGTCTCTTGTTTTCTTCCAAATAGTTGTCTGTATCTTCACATACAGAGAATTCATACAAAACAACATAGAATAAAACTGATCTGAACAGAATGAGGAAGGCATTTTAGGTCTTTAAAACCAGACAATAGGGAAGTCACTAATGGCTGTCATAGAGTCTCTCATTCTCTTCAAAATAGCTGTCCATACTTTCATGTATATTGAATTTCAACAAAACAAAACAGGCATGGGGGGAGGGATTGCTTGGTTTCCCAGCGCTCCAAGTCCCAGCATGGCGTGGGTCCCGGTAAATACCGTGGCTCCTGTCCTAAGCCACCATAGTCTGCCATGCTCACAGCCACTCACTGGGCGTGGAGGGGGTGCTTCAAGCTGTTTCTTTCTAATGAATTGACCATTTCACTGCCCAAGTTCTGAAATGGCCAACATACCATAGAAAGACATTTCTTTAGGCTCCTGCTTGAAACCAACAGAGTCAGGAAGCTGCCTTCCTTGATTTAGGGCCAACATAACTTTCTTTAGATTAATTTGAACAAAGGCCTAAACCACTGTCTTATTCTGGTTTACTGAACTCAAAGCTCTACTTTGTTCTTTCCTATACTCCTCTCTCTCCCCTCCACTCAAGTTAAAAATTTTCAAAGTAATGCTTCCAGAAAATTATATTGGGAAATCCCAAAGCTTGGTAAAGAAAAAAGGAAGGAGTTTTGAAAAGAAAGCAAGGGATAGTAAGTGAAGAAAGTCCAATCCACTTTCATTTCCTTGGATCAAGCTGTCAGGAGGGTATCTCCACTTTTAAGAAGAGAAAATAGAGGCAGAAAATGTTTGTTAAACATTTTGCGGCTTCTGCTTGTATGATTAGTTATCACTTAGCTTGCTGCAGTTTTGTAAATCTGAATGACTCTTATGGAGAATTACCAGTTTGTAAAACAAGGTAAAATGCTCTCAAAACACTTTAAAAAATCTTTTTTATGCTTTTATAAGTAAGTTAATAGCTACAATTTTACACTATTTTATTTGTTCAGCTGTTAACCCATAATATTTTCCAAATAAAAATGAATAATTCAATACAAGTTTTGTATTGGAAACAGTCCAGGATTTAGAAACTCCATTAAAAAAAAAAAAATTGAAAGTTTGCACTAAATTTCCTTTATACTAACCCTGCAAATATCAAGAGCTGACCCTTAGTATGTAACACCATCAGAATTGTTTCTTCATAAATGTTAATGTAAATAAGATAAATATATTTTATATTTGTATTTTTACAAAATGAAAGAAAGCAGTAGATACCTAAATAAGATAAATCATGGGATAATGCAAATTAGCTTGTCTGTTCTTCAAGAATAGGAAATGAAATGATGCAAATTGCACGAGATAATTAGAACTGTATGTGACAGATGTCTGGAAAAGGAAAAGAGGCAAAGCATGAGGAGGACGAGGAGGAGGAGGGTTATGTCTTAAAACAGAGACTGGAGGACAAAGGAACCAGTGAAAGAAATGGTAACCAATGCCTGCTGCATAAGAGGGAGGATTAAAAACTACTGTTGACCCTGGATCTGCTTGTAAAAGAAGCCTACTACAGCACTTGGATAAAGCATCATTTTCTGGGAAGGGAGCTAGTAATATTCTCTTTTGAGTTTTGTGAAGAAGACTTAAATATTTACTCAAAATATTTTTTTTTCTTTTACAATCACTTCCATCATGGTTTCTAGATAAAATGCAAGATGCATACAGAATCTGCTAAAGAAATGTTTACACACTTCAACAGTTTGACCTAAAAAATGTTTGGAATCTTACTCCTATCACTTTGAATACCACTTGTAATTGTACAAAGCAAAGGTAGCATGTATTAATCTTATGATGTCTCAATAAACTTAGTATTAAACCATTTATAGAAGTTGGGCCAGGGATTTAGCTCAGTGGCTCAAGCACTTACTTGCCTGGTAAGCACAAGGTCGTGAGTTTGATCCCTTAGTACAAAACAAAGAGAGAGAGACAGAGACAGAACTTCTTTTCTCTAATGTATTTTGATGGTCTCTCTCTACCTCTCTCTCTCTCTGTCTCTCTCTCTGTGTCTCTCTCTGTCTCTCTGTCTCTCTGTCTCTCTGTCTCTCTCTGTCTCTCTCTCTCCCCCCCCATTGGCATAATTATACTATAATATTTTTGTTTTGTCTCTGTCTCTGTCTCTCTACATTGGCATAATTATACCAAAGTATCTTTGTTTCTATTTTAGATTGAACACTATATATATATATATATATATATATATATATATATATATATTTTAACCCTGTTTGAAACTAGCCCATCTGCAGTATACCAGACTATAAGGCGTTGGGGCCAGCTTCAGCATTCCTCCTTTCCCTCCTTTAACGACCACCAAGACCAGTGTTTAGATCCGATGGGAAAGGGAACTGGAGGGTGAACACTATATTTTTGATCAATATGTAATCTTATTGATTGTGTGTCTCTGAAAGCCTGGCAAGACTTTGCATATGGAAATTATGAACATTGGTATGAGATATTAGAAAAAAAGACCAAGCACAAAAATGATGTTTTCAATTGCCTTTACTCTAATATACAGTATTCATATATCATGAATTAAATCTGAAAGATGGATAAGTCTGAGAACCTCATCATGGTCAGAATGTGGTAGCAAAGAATCAGTAGTGGAAGATTCCATATCACTGATTTAAATTACATAATAGGTAATGTCTTTCGTAATGTGTTACTGATTTTTATTCTAGTGATTGAAAACAATTTTAAATCCTTTTATAGGTCAGTTCCTTTAATCTCATTTCACTACAGCATCTGAAATCCCTGAAGGTTTCACTTTTTTCAGTACTTTTTTGGAAACATAATCCTTAGAACTGATTGTAGATTATTAATTAGATCAACCAGTACACAGGATCTTTATGTTTATTCTGATATGGATATGGACAAATTAGCACATTAATAAAGACATCACACTGTTTATTGTTGCTGGGACAGAGGCATTCCCATTTTAGATAGTTTTTATTTGACCAGAACTGTATTGTACACTGTGTAAAATCTGGCAACTGCAGTTATTGCCTGAGGGATGCTTTGCTCAAAATGGAACGGCAGATGGTACATCATGATGTATTATTAAAATCTAAAATAGTTTGCATTACCTTTATCACCATTACCACCACCATCATTGTATTATGAACTTATCTGCAATTGTCTGATCAGGAGCCATTGCTTGCAATGATTTCTCACCTAATCCTATGGGTCTCCATGCCACTGACCTTTCCAAGGTCGCTCTGAGCGCTCTTTCTCCTGCTGATTCTTTTTCATCCCCTCAGACCTCCAGGATCACTCCCTACATCGGTCATGGTGTATTAAAGCTGACAAATTCTGTGTTGGTTTAGTATTATTTTGAGGAAGAAAACATTGATGTTCAGGATTTTTTGATGAGTGGCATCAAAATCAGACAATGATGTACAATTTTTTAAAATTCTGCTTTTCTAATCTTCTGTGCTCTTTCATGCAGTCCTACACTCACTTAGATTTACATTTTAAACTTACAAACCTGGAAAAGAAAGGCACCTGACTTTATATTATCTGTTATACATATTTCTCTGACTAACCAGATTTAACATTTTTACAATGCACATACATTTGACATTCTTTTGTATCTCTCTAAGGTGTAAAGCCAGTTTCCAGAACAGGAAAAGAAACACATTTCTTTATAGTTAATCTTATTGGATGTTTGATGTGACAGTTTAGTGGATTTTTAAGCCATTGGAAAGACTGGCATTTTCAATTAGATACATTTGTATCATCTTTATACTGTGACGCTGTACATAGTTGATATTGTTGTTAATAATGAGCTAATGGGCATAAATATGTCATTATTCTGTGATAAAATCTACTTTAGACTCCTAATATAATCACATATAAAATTGTTTAAGTATATGTAAACTGAGAGATAAATGAAATAATATAGAATTTTAACTTAATCATGTGTTTCTCCAATGTCGAATTATTTATAAATCAATGTTTATTAAATAATCAAATTGAACTTACATTAGTTGTATCTTACATCCATCCCTCTTTTCCAGAAGTTCACTTATGATACTGAAAAAAATGTGTTATTCTAAAATTTAAGGTTTTCATAATTGTTGGATGGATACTAAATATACTCAATTTGGCATTCTCTAAGGCAAGAAGGGACATATATTTATTTTTCAAAAGCTATTCCAATTTAAAATTATTTTGATAGATACTCAAATTAAGTCTAGAAAAAACAGGAGGACTTTTCAGTTAGTAACTTGAAAAATATCTAATCCTCAGGGATTGGAATAAATCAAGAGATGATGCTGTATTTTAAAATAGCTATTGGCTTGTTTGAGAAAATGTGTATTTTTTTTCCTCATAGCAAAGCCAAGCAATATCATTATGAAATATAAACCTTTGCTTCAAATGATAATCGATGATGTGTTAACCTTGTTTTTCTTAGTAGGTAGTAGGATCAGTTTTAGTGCCTTCTGTGAAGTTATGCTTTTTTTTTTTTTTTTTTTTTTTTTTTGTCTTTTTCTTTTTTATCGGTACCAGGGATCGAACTCACGACTGCCTGCTTGCAAGGCAGGTGCTTATGCCATTGAGCTAAATCCCCAGCCCCTGTGAAGTTATTCTTAATGCAATTCAAAGACAATTACGTAGTACAACCCCCTATGTCTCCCTTTACTGCAAAGACATCCTGGCATGTTCTCACATTCCCACTACAACACGTAAGCAGCGTTTAAATTAAGAGCATAACCCAGTGAAGGGATAAAAGTGCTGAATGAATCTATTGACTCTGCCACTTCAGATTCTGCCTCAAAGAGAATTATAAGTGGACCTGTATAATCAGTAAACTGGAATATAAGGATTTTTATATTGGTGCTGAAGGTTTTGTTGTTGTTATTTTCTTTTTCTGAGACTGGGTCATCTATCTCAGTTGATCACAAATGACAGCAGCTCCCTTTGAAAGATAGTTTTTAATATAGAAAGCCTACATTGTATACTGCTTTACACTGCATGTCGTCATGTGGCAATTTTTAAATCAATTTTGCATTTAAGAAAACTGAAGTAATTTTCTCAGAAATTAAGCAGATCTATCTCTGCTTTATTAAAATCCTAGCATCAGCATCTTATCTTGTATTACACAGTGGAGAAACTTTTTTTGTCAATAAATATATGATGTTCCTTGCAAAGAAATTGCATGAATAACATATGACATCAGTGTGAAGAATCTAGTCCCAGAAATAAATGAGATGTCTTTGACATTATTTATGAATGATTAGATAGGAACCAGTGAGTTACAAATAATCCTAAAAAAGGATAAGTTTATTTACTTAAGCTCATTCAGAGTGAAGTGTAAATGACCCAAGTCAGACCTTGTTTATTGCAGAAATGTTGGAGTTAGTTCAAAAATTATTTCAGTGAGTGCCGATTCTGTTAAGAGACTATGAAAATCCTAGAAGCACGGAGACAAACAAGACACCAGGCTCTGTCCTCATGGAGGTCAGAACTTAAGGTTAAAAAAAAAAAAAAAATGACAGATAAGCAGACCAAAACCTTACAGATAGGATGTTCTGACTGGTAAACACACCGTGTCAACAAAGCACACACCAGGGCTGTAACTGACCGGGGCGCTGAAAAGAGCACAGAGGTTTCCCTGATCTGTCTCAGGCTTAGAGCCAGTGACTCAGACTTAGTCAGGAAATAGAAATACTGTGCGTTTTGGGTGCCTGAGGAAGGTGGAATTTGGGAGAAGAATAGTAAGGTGTAAGAGCATATTTCAATGTAACTTTGCAGAAGTCAAACAATCAGAGAATAGTGGCTCCCTGGGGATTTGAGCCTTGTCTTTCTTCTTTTCCTGCATCTCAAAAAATAGCTGGCACATCATAGCAATGGATAAATACCTAATAAATAAAATAATGAGATATTTCTGAGGCCAGATGCACATAGACAAAGGCAGAATGTTACGACAGTTTAAGGAGCCTTGGATAAGCAATGAGTGACCTAGAATCTGACCTTAATACTACCAGTTAGTTAACTGGTAGGTGTAGCTAGGGATCCAAGTTTGTTCACTTGCACAGTGAAAGGATTGGGCATTCCAATCTCCCAGGCCTTTTAATAAATCTAATGTACAAAATGATACCATTGCTGTTACAAAAAGCCCTATGCTCCTAGTCATTTCTAAGTTGTTTCTTATTGATTTAGAGTGAAGTTTTTCACAGACATATGAACTTTAATATAAGAATAAGATATTTAATGCACAAAAGATGTTTGTGATTCTCATTACATTGTGGAACCTAGTTTTGATTACTCACACATAAGCTGTTTAAATTTTTAAGAAAATTACTATAACTTTTAATATATTCTTCATGTATAAAGTAAAATAACATCCAAAAAATGTATTGCATTTTAAAACAGCAAAGATACTTAATTGGAATGGTCACGAGGTCACATCATGTCCCGTCAAGTCTGCCATTCAGCAGATGAAGTCACATGAACATTTAGGGCTGTCTGTACCTGATGGTGTGATGCCATGTGGCCAAAGGGTCTCCTCTTAGAAACACCATGTCCTTTGTCTTTATTGTGTTAATATTCTAGGATGACCCTTGAATTCATTGAGATTTGTCCAGAATGTCAATTTCAATAAAAGTGAATCCAGAAAGCCTAAAGCATTTCTAAAATTTATTAGTGGAAAGGTGGAAACTATTCTCTGTGACTACATTGTAACCTTTTGCTCAAGTATAGCATTGGATGCAATGGAGAAACTTAATTGGAGCCTGGTCTTTGATCCTTTGTACAATAGTTGCTTTTTATTGATTGGTGCCACATGATTTTTTCTTAATAATGTGTCATGAATGTAATTTGGTGTATTAAGTAAGTTTCTCCAGAGTATGGTATGCTTTTGAATATTCAATTTCCAGTATTTTTTGCTTGAGTATTCTGTAACTCTCAATGAAACTCAGTTTTAGAAACTCAGTTTTAGAAAATCTCATCATCCCTAGAAGCAACACTGTTTTCATTAGCTTTGTCATCAAACTGATTTTGAGCTGATCACATAGGAAACTGAATGAAACTGAATGAAAGCGGTGTGAGAGAAAAGACTGAGGACAGAAGAAAAATAAATGAAAATAAACCTGAAATCAAAATTTCATAAAAAGTGAATAACTCATCTAATAAAGGTAGCCAATAAAACAAATATTTACAATATGCATTTATTTCATGTGAACGCAATTATATGAAACAGTTTGACAAACACATTCATGTAAATATGCCTAGTATGCTCAGAAGGCAAACAAATTTTTCATTTAAAATATATAAAAAGGAAAATATTTAGCAGATAGCTACAAGAACAAAATGAGCATGTAAATATTCTCAAGATATACCAAATGTTAGAAAT